TATTAAATGAGGCTTTATTTGAGAAGTGTATAAAAATACTACTACTGTCTACTTAATCAAGAGATAACATGGAAAAGAGTAGAGCTGCAAAAAACAAAGCTAAATGTATGGATTGTTACACAGTTGTGGTAGCCTTTTCTGTAGCTGTGTTGCACTAAGCAAGTGAGTGGTACTCAACCACTGGCCCAAGGAGAACAGTAAAGAGCAAAGTACTGTGCTGTAGGCAACATCATACTTTGTTCTTCATGCCAACTTCTTTCCTATTTCTGCTTCTCCTACCTTGTAGCTAATGTTAGTAGCTTGGAGTTAAGATGTTAGTGACCCTGGGGTTGTAGACTACAATGCTAAATTAAAATTCTTTTTTCTTTGATTAAAATCTACTCCAGTACTGGAAAAAATGGCACATCTATTGTCCACAAACCTGTCTTCCTATTAGTGGTAGATAATTTTATTTCCATAATGAAAGTGTGTACACCAGGTAGAATGAGGTGAATGCCATGTCCAGGGTGTATATGTTATAACTCTTCCTGAGATAATCTTACAAGTAGAAATTTTTCCTGCAGGTTCAATTTTTAAGTACTTCCAGTGTTTGGGAACAAGAGATGGAAGAATACCTGTTGGATCATTTTAGGAATCCTGCTGCTATTCCAAGATAATTCTTGATACCATTTAAATGAGTGACATGGCTTCTTCTGAGAGACTATAATTTGGTATCATGCCATTATTTCTGATAATCTGATTGACCTAGATTTTTCAATTTATTCCCTGACACTCTTGTATGCTTCATTGACTAACCCTAAATTCATCCTCTTCCAAAACGATACCCAAGAAAGTGTCAACAATTTTACCATTTTTGTGGCTCTCTTCTTAAATACCCTCCAGTTCATATTTACAATGAACAGCACCAAACTGTGAGTGTTGTAGGTCTTACTATAATGAATACTCAAAGTCCTTTTAGGACTTGGCACTATTTCATTGCTTTCCTACCACATGCTGCTGGTCCAAGCATCTCCTACTGATTATTTTAAATCTCATTAATCAATACATGCAACTACCATTGCCTGACATCACCCCATGCTTTTCTGTTAACCTGCCATTATCTAAAAGAAACACTTAAAATGATTATAGCCCAAACTAATTTAAGTTGACAGTAGATTTAAATGTTTCTTTACCAATTTTTTTTACATCCAGTTTTAACGAAAATAAAAATCTAGCTTTCATTTCCACTGATTCTATATTTCACTCATCTTGGGCAGATTAAGTGTAGTGTGCCTTTACTGAGGTTTGCTGTGTCCTGCTGTATGGTCATGATATGCTTCCCATAAAACAACATACCCTTTATGTTTGCAGTCATTCAACAAGAGTTGACTCTGTCACAGCCACTTCATGAAGTGCTTTCAGTACTTGCTGGAAATGCAGGGGTGGGGATGGACAGGGGAGAAGCTACTCCAGAACTTTTGTGCATAAGCAAAAAAGACTACTGACCCTTCCTACACCCTTGTAGGTTTTGGCCTTGTCGATGCTTGCCTTCTTTTACTGAAAGTTCTGTTGCAGACAACAGCTGCTACCACCAAGCTCCCAGTATGTGTGGTATTCCCAAGTGCTTTGGATGGCTTCACCCAGCAGCTGCACTGTTGAAGTGCAAAGTGCTCCTGGGAAGGCATCAACAACTGAAGGGACTGCAGTGGTATGGGAACATCTACAGCCCCCTTCTGAGTGGCAGGAGAAGCCCTACTCTTTGGCAGAGTGGGAATGAATCCTACTACGCAGAATCCTACCCTAGGTCAGGAGTTTTCTGCTGCTGTAGCAGGGCTTAAATATGTACTGTACTGTACATACTATACTAATAATTTTGCTGGAAGAATGTTACAATGTAGCCTTTGCCTTTGGTTACAGTTATAAAGCTAGAGCAATGATGGTTTGAAACCTACAAAAATACCTTGTGCCACTTTATTAGGGAAATATGAAAAAGTTTCTATTAATTGGAATTGCTTGTTCCTGAAGGGTCTCTGTGCCACTAGGAACAGGATTTCCCTTTAAGTGATGCTTTAAAGGTATTGTCACCAGGAAATTCTTTCTTTACAAGAAACTATAAAGGTCTGTTCAAAATTTAAAAAATATATAAGTGGAGCAACAGACTGCATTTATGGAGGGTCAGGTATGGGGATATTTAGAACATTTCATCTAAAATTTTAAATTGTGTTTAAAAAGACCAGTGTGTTTTGAGAGAGACTCTGACATGTGAGGTTCAGCAGATAACATGAATCCCATGAGCATAATGAGAATAGAAAGGGAATCAGAGTGGAAAAAGTGAGGCAACAGCATGATGGCAGGCATGGAACAGCATTCCAGGGTAATGGCACAGGAAGGGTTGTAGGAATGAGTCAGTAATGTTTGTGCAGTCTAGATTTTGTACCTTGATTTTTTTTTTTTTTTTTTTTTTTTTTTTGGGGA